TATAGCTGAGTTAAGGCCTGTGTAACTTCCCTTCTGTTGCGGTTTGCTGCTCCAGATTACTTTGAACCGAAAATACTTTTGTTTAATTTAAATTGTCAGGAATTTGTTCAGTTGATGTTATTAAGTTACTTATGTATGATAGAATTAATAGCAAATAGATACCTACTTGCTATCGACAAAAGGATTTTGCTCCCATAAAAAAAGCAAGTATGTATACTGTTACAAGTGTTTTAATAGACATGTATTAAGGGGAGATTTTATTAGCCTTTTATGCACCATAATTGATGAAACTGATGGCAATCTAAATCTAAATATGTATATATAATTCAAAGGTGACTGACTGACATAGTGATCTATCAACGCCCAGCCCAAACCACTGGACGGATCGGGCTGAAATTTGGCATGCAGGTAGATTTTATGACGTAGGCATCCGCAAAGAAAGGATTTTGATCAATCCTACCCCCAAGGGGATAAAATAGGGGATGAAAGTTTGTATGAAACTTTGTCAAATTTAAACTGATCGGGCTGAGAGCTACAATGCGTAAAGCTACAATGACATAGGAATCCACTAAGAAAGGATTTTTATCAATCCTCCCTCCAAGGGGATTAATTAGGGGATGAAACTTTACCTCAGGTATTTTACACGATATAATGAATAAATATTCGTTAGAAATGCTACTCAAAGTAACTTTACCACGCGGACGAAGTCGCGGGCAAAAGCTAGTTGAATAATATATTCAAACATTTCGTGAAAACAGAACCATCTGATATATACATAATTCTTTTAAAGGATTTAAAAGGACTCTCGTATTTGGTTTTGACTGAAATAAAAGTAGAGATAGAAAGTATAACAGTATTTTATTTAAAAATGTTTTACACGCGCCTTTTCTTGATTCCTAACTGTCTTTCGAATATTTTGCCCGCATAAATCTGACTGTTACAGATATACATAAACCCTATGTTAACTGCGTATGATGATGCTACATATAGGCGAAATAATTTTTAAAATAGGTCCAGTATATGTAGAGCTTATTCATCAATGCGAACAATCAAATGTTTACTCTTTATAAATTAGTATTGATGAAAAAAGGAATCAGTTTGAATGGGGAGAAAAAATAGTTAAATATATACTCGAATATTAGGTTACTTTTTAGGGTTCCGTAGTAACCATGGAAGTTTCGCTATGTCCGTCTCTCCGTCCGTCCGCGGTTTCGCTTAAAAACTATTGGTAGTAGAAAGTTGTAATTTAGCATGAGTATATACATTAAATACGTCGACAAAGTGGTAAAGTAAAATTACAAAAAAAAAAATTGGTGTGCCTCCACTACATGTAAATAATACTGATGTTCGAATTTACCAAAACAAAGTCTACTCGATCAAGGAATAGAGCAACGAAACAAACAAAAATTAACAAATAAAGATTAACCACTACTTAAAGTGCCTTCTCAAAACTTAAATTAAGAACTAATTTAATTTAAAGTACCCCTTTAGAACTTCGATTTTATCATTCACCCACAATCGCCCTCTTAATGGGTAATCTCGACTATTTAGAATAGAAATTTAATGATTCCATTTTTTGTATAACAGTACAAAACAAAATTGATTGATTATACGTGTCTTACATATTCTATTGCTATGTCATTTCGAAACTCACTTCACTTATGCCACGAAATATTATTACCAATTAAAGGTTAAGCGAATGCCGCTTTTTGATTATTATAGAGTCGCAGGGCAGATCTTGAATATTGATCCTTGGTGATATATCGATTCGATCAATAGATCACCAGGGATCGAATTCGGGTTTGCATTTTTACAGAATCTCAGGGCTTGTATAGACTTTGTTAACATATCCGCTACTATTTATATAACGAAGTTAAAAGGTAAACTATCACACAGGTTTTACAAGTTTATGAGTAATTGATACTCCAGCAATTGTATTTGACTCAAAAATTTTAAACATCTCATTTTTTTTTACTTTTTTAATGGATAATGGAACGGAACTCTTCATGCGCGAGTTCTACTCACACTTGGTTGATTTTTACATATAACATGCAAATTTTATGTCCTTAAACTCACTTTAATCCTTTTATAAGAATCAGTTTCATGTCCTTTATATATAGAAGTATAAAAAGTTACCTAATTTCAATTTTTATATAAGAATTTCGGAAGCAAACAAGCTCAAGACATTTTAAAGGTTTCTTAAACGGGTCATTAATATTTAAATACGCCTCATGAATAACCATGAAGTGGTTAGGTAAGGTTTTAGTAGGCATTAGGTGAGCTCTTGAAATTTTATAATAAAATGTTTAAAATGCTATTACGGAATCTATTGAACTTAAACATCATTTATTATTATACTCGCACTAAATAAAAATAAATTTTTAATTGCATATCTATTATAAAGAGGAAAAAATTAATTGTTCGTTGGTTTGTTTGTTTGTATTGAATAGACTCCAAAACTAGTAGATCGATTTTAAAAGTTATTTCATCTACGGGAAGCTTCGTCTTACTCGGGTGACATAGGCTATAGTTTAGGGAGGTGAAATTGTAAGAAAACGGGCTAGTATGTAATCTCTCTCTTCTTCTTCTTCTTCTACAGCCTGTTTCTACTGTATCAATGTAGGCCCCCTTAAGCATTTTCCATAGATCTCGGCATTGAGCTCATTCCAACCATTTGGTACCTGCAACCCTCTTGATATCGTCTTGCAACACTTCAACCCTTCATCTAATCTCTAATTATTTTTAAGTGTTGTTTTTATTATTTTCTGACTTTAATTAATTTCACTAAATTTTTAGTGCCAAAAATATTATATTTAATCTATCTATATGTATTCTTAATGAAAAATGTTTAAAAAATCCCATTGTCTCCATCCCATTGTCTCACGAAAACAGTCCCTGGTACTCTGAGATGGGATTCGAACCCATGACCATTCTCATCCAGGTATTTTTCATTAAAAATATTTTTCAGTATAGCATTTTGAATGCGAAATTGATCAAATATAAAAATTATCTAAGTATATGTCTTAGTAATAAGACTAATAATACTTATTGAAATACCCATCACTGATTCCTGTTTTACAATAAATAAACAGAATATGGTTTATAGCAAATTTTTTCTTCGTAAACTTTCAGTTAAAGTCTTTTAACATTTCTGAGCACGCCCCAAGCGCGCGCGTGTACATGAATTTATCGCCTCACAAAACACCAATTTACTGTGGCATCCTTGAAGACAACCTATTTTGAAACGGATGTTGAGGTACTTGGAATTTTATTAGACATTATCTCTCTCATCTTATGATGAGCAACTTCAGAATATTACAATATTCAGTAACTTCCACACTCTATTTTTTGGCGGATCGGCGTCGTACACACATATATTGCTCGCATTTTTACAATTATTATACGTCTGAAACGTAGATAGTATTGCTTGCCATCAGTATGAACCTTAATGCATATCGATATATGAAATGCTCTAACTCATTTTGATGATCTTTATGGAATTCTTTCTCCAATACGTTTTGCTTCTGCAAGTGCAGAAAGCAGAGAACAGGAGAGTTAACCATGACCGTAGAGCGGTGTGGATATGCTTTGCCATTCTGTAATAAAAACTGCTTAAAATTAAATAAATCCTTGATTATCTTTTGAAGTAGATCTTATTTTATAAAACCTCTATGCTGTGAAAGCGTTTTGCTCGAATACTAGTATTACTGCTGGCCAGATCAAAGTGTTAGGCTGGAACCACAAGGCTTCTTCCCATCTACTTGACGGTCACGATGAGCTCCTCATGGTTACCACCGTGATTTCTTGCAATGTGACTTAATTTATATTGAACTCTTGGAAAACACTCGCATGCTATTGATGCTGTCCAGGGTATACGAAACATCTTCCTCTAGATCAATCTCAAAGGAGTCGATGTGTTTGCGAACTATAGCTTTCAGTATCCAAGTTCCAGCGAGACAAGAGTCTTTACCAGTTTGGTTTTTATTTTTCTGGAAACTATGAAGATAAAGTTATGTACTATGTTTCCAGCCTCAACGTACTATTGACTTTCTATGTTAAGGAAATAAGATACAGTAGAATTATCCGGATTATTGATCATCGCCATCTTTCATTCGTTTCATTTTCATTTTACATGTAGAAATAAATTTATTCACTTGACATTGGCAGAATTGTGTGAAACGCGTAGATAAGCCATTAATAAAAGAAGAAGAAGAAGAAGAATTATCCGAACCTCGATTATCCGGACTCATCATCTCTGCTTTATTTGTCAACTTAAAAATGTTTTGACGTCGCAACGTGACATGTCATGAAATGTTTATCGACGTTTCTCCTCGACGAGGTGTACTCTAGCTCTCATTTAAATTTGATGTAGTATTTCTGTGAGTATTTGTATTGTTAAATTATTTCGATATAATTCAAGTGATAGGTTGTCTTTTAAAGCTTTGACCCTTTAGATATTACTTTGAAAGTCGTGTTTGGATCTTATCCCATAACTGTAAGTGTATCAGAGACTACTGCAGTGAAAAGATGTGATTCATTTCATCAAAGCACAGATCATCATGTTCAATTATATTTTATCAATTTTATAGGTATTTATTTAATTTATCATTGATACAGCTGTTTTTTTCGAATCATCTAAGCGACGACGAATGAAAAACCTGTATCAAAATATAATGTTTTTAATGAAATATGCATAAAAAATCCATTTTTCATTATGAATCTGTGAATGCAACATTGATTAAATATAATAACCATGATATAAATCGATTATTCGGATTTTCGATCAGATCATACGCTTATTTGATCCGGATTTGACTGATCGGATGAATAGAAATCGGATTCCAGAATATAAATTTCGACACTGTAATCCGCTCTTCTATACGTGTTCGAACTAACATAACATACCCCTGTCAACTTTACCGACACTATATTTTCTCTCTCAAGTATCTGTAGGTGTGTTTTAATATTCTGATGCATCCTTATCAAAACTTGTTTTACAGGTGTTAGCTGCCCTAGCAGTGTCGTTAGCACCGTTTTCCGCTGGCCTTGGGAAGGGGTACAGCTCCCCTGCCATCGCCTCCTTGCAGGGACCTGGGGCCAACGCAACGCGCCGCGACTTCCAACTCACAGACCAACAGGCTTCTTGGCTTGCCTCACTATCGTTTCTAGGTAAGATATAAATAATTAATATAGATGAATAGACATAGACTGCTATCTTTTTTCTGATCTGAATGAGTATTCAGAACTCTTCAAAGCTAAAAGATTTAAGAGAGGAATAAAGTTTTATAATATATATTTTTTTATAATGACATATTTAATGAAAACTGTGTCGATACATTTTCAACATCTATAATAATTGAAATTTATAATTAGGATATAAATCTGTCTCAAAGATTAGACGACTTGTAAAATATATATAATCAATCCTGTATAGATATGAGTTTTCTTCTCTTTTAAATCGTAGTTTTACGAGATTGTTTAGCTACCTATTTGTCTAGTTGAAATCGTTAGAACTATTATTGCAATTTAATTCATAGCATTTTAAAAATGGCAACTCAAATCAAATCTACCCGAACCTTAGCGGGGCTCATGAATTTCAGATTATTACTTTTACTGTTATGAAGCGTATAGAAGAAATATCTATAATAGCATCTTGATTACATTTATTTTAGATACTAAAATTTAGAGGAAATATATAATTTTTGTTTGTTTTAATTGCAATTTTATTCGACCTCTTTTAAAAGCCCTTTCACAAAAGAAAACTCCATGGTTAATAAGTTTATTTTTAATATACGTTTTTGATAATGATATGGTTTTTCTAAATCTTGTAACTTTACCAAAGCTGGTAAGTTCCTTAGTTTGTAAGACTTTTTAACATCAGTCCAGTACTTTTGAAGTCTATTCGATGCAAAAAACAACCAAATCTCTCGTCTTTATAATATAAGTATAGAAGTCGGCAAAAGTTCTGAAAGTCAGCAACTCAAATAGAATAATGAATTTATTATTTGTACATCTGGAATTATTCAGTCCGCGTTGTTGGAAATTCCTATGTACAGCGGATCTTACGCATCGCTTCATTGAAATCTCCCTTGTTTAACAACTGTAAACAAATTTATTGGCGTCCAACAAAAAGGGTCGGGTCAGGGCAGTGTATAAACATCTTAATTGTTTTCAACCATTTCAGATACACAAAAGACATTTGTGTAAACAAATTGTCTACAGTAATTATTAGACGGTATAATTTTGAAAGGCAATTTCAAGTATTTATTCAATAGCGTCGGTGGTGTAATGGTCAGCATAGTTGCCTTCCAAGCAGTTGATCTGGGTTCGATTCCCGGCCGACGCACTTTTTGTTCTAATTATTATCCTGTTTTGCTTCAATTTATTTTTTAATGAATTCCTAGGAATTGCTTGGGTGAGGATGAAAAAAGCTACAACAAGATATTTTAAAATATAATTTACTAGATAACGATTTTATATTTATGGTTTATATTGTATTCTAAATCATAGTGGTTTTTGAAAAAAAAAAATGCTTTTAAAGACAAACTTACTTATAAACAAAACTTTAAAAAGTACCTTCCTTTTTAACTCAATAAAAGTAACTTCTTATCCTCAATTCGACTGAATGTTTTTAATATATTTATTTTGTTTGAGTATTTCCTCACTTTTATTATTTTAAAATTGCTTTCTCGGAGCGGATTTTTTTAAAAAAATTTTTTAAGTTTTTATTAATACTACGTAATTCTTATGGCAGTAGGTATAGAGTCATTTTATTAACTATGGCAAGTTTAAAGTAAATCCATTATCGTCAATTTATAAAACCGTCTAACCTGGTTAACTCACGAAACGTCCACGTCAAGATTAGGGTTGCCGCATTTTTATTACCGTCCATTTTTATTAGTAGATGTAACATTTGAAATATATCTAGCAGCGTCCCCAATTAAAACATTTCAATGTTTATAATATACTACTTATCTAACCCTTTGTTTTTGTGAGTCAAGTAACATACGCGTAAGATTTTATTTGTAAAATTTTGCTTTTATTGATCAATCAGCACGCGCCGGCCCAATTTAATTCCTTTCCCGCCGCAAACTCTACAACATACTCTACTCTAATATCCTCATGTTGTAGTAAAAATATTAAACACGTATCTAACTTTGCAGCTGTGGCATAGCATATGCATTCTTACTGTTATATAACTTTATTAATTTGAAACATATTTTAAGTTAAAAGCTGGGTTGATGCCTTTATTCTCAACGAGTCAAGTTTTTATATAACTATTCACTATTGTTAATTATTAATAATCACTTTACTAGTTTTCCCCCAGCGGCTTCACCCGCGTAGTCTTCTATTAAAATACATAAAAAACTTCCTTTTGAATCACTCTATCTACGAAGAACAACCGCTTCAAAATCCGTTGCGTAGTTTTAAAGATTTAAGCATACTTTGTTTTATACTTTGTAGTGATGATCATTCGGTCAAAAATAAGACTTAAAACTAGTGGTAAATACATATAAACAAAAGATTATTTTTTGCTAATATACCTGTGACGCAATATGGTACGGATAAAGGCAATTTTCTTTAAAATCGGTGTATTTTTTTTAATACATTTTTCAATAATTCAAAAATTTATTTAATGTTTAATTACAATATACAGATATTTGACCATTTTGTAATTTTAAGAGAACAATGAAATAACGCCCAAACAATGTCTGTAAGTAAAAATAAAATTACTTGTATATCATATTTCTAAGTTTTGTTACAGCTAAAATTTAATTAATATTATAATTGTTTTCCATTAGAAAAATCACGAAATTGCCTCTAAAAATTCGCTATCCTTATAATAATACTACGAGTATTTTTAAACGGAAAATTATCGATAAGATATGCGTTTGTAGTTATTTATTTGAGTAGTTAATTAAAAATTGTTTTTTTAAGGTCACACACTTTTGTTTTCGTCTGTTTTCTCTTATACTTTTACGCCGAGCTTAATCAATTTGTTGTTGATTCCAGGTGCTCTGTTCGGTGGAATGGCAGGTGGAGCGGCGATGAGGCACGGTCGCCGCCGCGTGCTGTCCCTAGCCGCAGCGCCCTGCAGCCTGTCCTGGTTGCTAACAGTACTAGCCACTTCGGTCAGGATGATGTGCATCACCGCCTTCTTGGGCGGATTCTGCTGTTCCATCTTGACGATGCTGTCGCAGGTTAGTTAAGGCTTTTATCATTTATGTTTTTTTACTTTTAATTTTGAAATTGCAATTGGTTATTCGTAAACAAATCAGCCATTTCTAGACTCAGAAATCATAAAAAAACAATCATAGTAAAGTTTTTGGACTATCGAATGTGACACTCAAATTATGTGTTGTTTGTGGCATTGAACTTATTCAACATAAGTATCGGAATTATAATTAATTCACTAACTTATTAACACTCATAATTTTCTTCTTAATACCGCTATAATTTAATAACACAATTATTTGACTTAACTTATTAATCTGATACAATTTGCTCAAAGTTTGAATCGACAATAGGATAATTATCGGCACCGGCTATGATCAACCATTAAAACTCTGTATAACAACGCTTCTGATCCGCTGTATATCTTGGTATACATGGATCTACATATAAACCACTGGAAAATGAACTTTACTCTATGAATTTAGGGAAGAAGATAATATGACGCAATATGCTCGTCAAAGAAACTAATTTTCGTACCGCCCGCATATTTCAGAAGCAATTATTGGGGTAGCCATGATTTAGATTTTTTTTTTTACTTATTTATCTACCTAAGCGATTGATTGACGTGCTGTCCCAGTTTGATTTAAATTTTATTGTAAAATTATATGTATTTCATTAATATACATCATTTATACGTCTTCTACGCCTCCGTTCAAATAAAAAAATAAATTGTTTTTTAAATTAGTTATTTTATAATCATTCATTCAATGACAATCTAAATAGTAGTAATAAAATGTCAACTTCATGACATGTGAGTAACATTGATATAAAATAGTTTAAGAATTTAATAAGTTTACAACTAACTATTAAAATTATATTCTAACATTATACTAATTTGAATATTTTCATATATATTTGAATATTTTTATATTTTTGTATGTTATAAGAACTATGACAAGTTCTTCTTGTGTCACTTTATTACAGTTAATAAATATTATTGATCCATCTGTTTAACTCCGGCCTTCAAGTAAGCAACGTCACAGATGAACAGAAAAAAAGAACGCCGAAAATTTTCCTCAAAATGCTAATGTATGTTTGGTCACCCTTCGCTTAATTGATAAAGTCCAAAACTTTCGTCGAGTTAAGCTTTTCTAAACCTCCCTTTCCTACCGTTGCACGCTTCTACTGCCCGTTAAAGGCAAAGTTTCGGTTTAGCGTTAAAATTAATATTTATTAGTTTCATAACATGAAAACGTAATGAGCTAAGCTCGAAGTTAGGAATGTTAGATGAAAGTTACATCATGTAAGCTCCTGGGTGTTGTGAAGTTATTACTTTTATAAAAAACTTATAACGTTATATATTTTTTGGTATTCTAAAACTGGCAATTAAAAGTATATATTTAATACCTATTTTTGATTGATCGCAATAAAATTTACTAGTTAAGTTTGACAGATACACATAAACTAAGCAAAATAATCCTGAATTAGCACTCTTTTTACCATTACCATTACATTAAACATAATAATAACAATTTAGCCAAATTACACAATACCTCAATTGGCGACAATCGCTTAAAAAGGATATGCTTTTGAAATTTTCGCATTTCTTCTCAAGAAAGAAATGAAAAATTAGAAGAAATAATTTCTCACCCGTAAACTGAATCCTTCCCTATGATTCTGTAAAAATCCAAAACCGAATTCGAATTCACTTCAAAAAGCGGCATCCGCTTAATCTAGAACTGCTAATAATGTTTCGTGAAGTAAGTTTCGAAATGACACAGGAATAAAATATCTGAGACACGTGTAATCAATCAATTTGGTTTTGTATTCTTATAGAAAAATTTGAATCAATAAAATTTCTTCACTAAATGACGTGATTCGGACACATAAGTCAGTTCGAAATCGTGCTCGAATTATTACAGAATGGCAGACCGGCCCCCTTACTCTCGAACGCATACGCGACCGATCTACAATGCAATTGTGCCGCTCCGGGCGCTTGATTGGTTACACTAGCATACTCTGGTGCTAGTGTACTCAATCAAGAGTATTAAACGGCACAATTGCAATGTCGATTGGTCGCGATTGCGTTCGAGAGTAAGGGGGCCGGTCGAACAATTGATAAATACAGCGACAGGTTGACTAGGTTTAATTTGTTCTCTTTGCTATCGCGTCGCGAGGGGTAGGAGCTTTTGGCACTCCACAAAGTAATTCAACTATCCTTTATTTTTAATAATCCTGTATCCTCTGATTTGAACTTCGCTCGTTAGAAGTAAGGAGTCTCTTCTGACCGGGGGCCCCTTCCAGCTGAGGGCCCGTGGTATTTTGCCGACTTGCCACCCTGTAGTTACGCCACTGAAATCGACACTGTAGAAGTAATCATGTTATGTACGCTTATTAATGATTGCCGCCTAGACTTATAAAAAGTTAATAATATAATATTGTTTTGATTGTAATCTATCAGTGCATCTATAAAATAAAATATAACAAAATAATTTAAAAAGACTGGGTAAGTGGCAGCTGTTTGTTCTATTATGTAAATGTAATATAAATTACATTTTTCTTTATTTCAGGTCTACATAAGCGAGATATCAGTACCAGACATTCGCGGCTGTCTCAGTGCCGTTCTCAAAATCGTCGGCCATCTCGGTGTTCTATTCAGCTTCACCATCGGCGCCTACCTCGACTGGCAACAACTCGCGCTGTGCATATCCGCTGCACCCTTACTTCTTTTCTGCACAGTTCTTTATATACCAGAAACACCGAGCTACCTCGTCCTCATCGGAAAGGATGAGGAAGCGTACAGGAGCTTACTCTGGTTACGCGGACCGAACTCCGACGTTGCTCAGGAATTAGCCACTATAAGAACTAACGTATTAGCCAGCAAGAACTTCAGTCAACGACAAAGCCAGATGTCTGGGAGTCAATTATTAAACTCTTTGGATGTGAGAACAATGAATAGACTCTTAGGACCTATTCTAGTGACGTGCGGCCTGATGATGTTTCAAAGGTTCTCCGGTGCTCATGCCTTTTCCTTTTACGCCGTACCGATTTTTAGGAAAACTTTTGGAGGTATGAACCCACACGGAGCGGCTATAGCTGTCTCTTTCGTGCAGCTTCTAGCGTCATGTCTGTCTGGCCTACTAATCGACACAGTTGGAAGACTGCCTCTATTAATCGTCAGTTCTGTATTAATGTCGATGGCCTTAGCTGGTTTCGGCAGTTACGCTTATTATGAAGAAGTGCACAGGAACCAGAGGATCCAAAATGTGATGTTTCATCAAACCAGCTTAGGGCAGAACGATTGGATTCCTTTATTATGTGTATTGGTGTTTACGATAGCTTTCTCTTTAGGAATGAGTCCGATATCGTGGTTGCTTATCGGGGAACTGTTTCCTTTAGAATATAGAGCATTCGGGAGCGCTATGGCAACGGCTTTCAGTTATCTCTGTGCGTTCGTTGGGGTTAAAACGTTTGTAGATTTTCAACAAGCGTTGGGTCTACACGGAGCTTTCTGGTTGTATGCTTCTATAAGTGTCGGTGGTCTATGTTTCGTAGTATGTTGTGTACCAGAGACTAAAGGAAAAGATTTGGACGAAATGGATCCGAACTATGTTCAGAGTCTGTCTCCGAAGAGGTAAATTTGAGTAGAAACGAGTCGAAATTTACTTGGAAACTTTTAGGAGTAGAATGGATAGTGATATAGAAATAAATATGTCGTGTTATTGTTTAATAGTTACTTACAGTTCCGTAGTCAAGTCACATTTTTTTTATTCATCATCTTCTCCCGTTGATTCTCTGTGCGTTTATGAACTTATGACCCTTGATACTGTTTTCGATGCTCTGCTTGAGGCGATTCTATATGAAATTGGTACTGGCAAGTTTTCTATATCGTCCAACACGGTGAAGGCCTTTATACCGTTACAAAGATAATATTTGAATATATTTTACAGCATATTATTATATATATATATTGTTGAATAGATGTTAATATTGTGTTAGGGTTGAAAGACGAAATTAGCATTCGTGTGGCTTAATGCAAATCTTCCCAAGTAAATGCGACTTTAAATTATATCCAAAAAACGTAGGAACAAAGTACGTCGAATCCACCGCAACATTTTGGCTGTGCTTATTAAATTTTTTAATAAAAACAAAAACAAAGCCACTTAATTTAATGGTGGTTCCTTTGAATACTTAAAGTAGGAACATTTAAAATGTATATACGCATATCGATGAAGCCATATCTTTTTTTCGTATTTAACGACTTCCGTAAAATATCGTAATTAATTTTTCATTAAAAATGAAATACGATATTGTTACATATTATTTTAAGTTGACATTTTATTGATCTGCAAGTTTTTAGGAAGTAGAAAAAAAAATACATAAAATATGTACGGTATGGTATATGTAATACTCATTAGCAAACCTCTTGCTACATAGAAAACTTATTTCATTGGACATACGAGTATATTATTTTTCTGACAACGAATGTATTATATTATATTGATTTAAAAAACGACTCCTAAACTCTTGCCGTTTGATAAAAATATCATATCGATTCACCGTGGTCCACTCTTTACCTCTCCGTATTAAATCCTTAGATACTTAGCAAAGAATATCTTTCACAAATTCTTACTATGATTCAAATTATATTGGATAATATTAACGAGCTTTCCTATCTCTAATTCTATGACAATACTGTTAAGACAATAATAAATATTATATTAAAATTATACTGTAAAGATTTGTATGAGTTAGATTTAGTCTTTGTGGTCTCAATGTCAGTTGCAGAAACGTACATTAAAGTTTAATGGGTAATGTCGCTTTAAAGTAATGAAAATTTTAATGGATGTTTGTACAACTGGCTGGCAAAGTAATAGACTTTGGTTTGCAGTCGTGTGAATCGTAGTTTTTTTATGAAAAATAACCCAAAAAAATGTTATTATTAATGAATATTATAAATGCTTATGAAATAACGAAAAAACATTTGTAAATAACAATAAGTGATTTATAAAACGGCAATGGCAATGAAAAATGTTGTAACTCAATTTACGCTAAAATTGGAGATATTAAAAGAAAGTAAAAATTTATATAATATCTACACATTTTGTGTTACATGCTTCTGTCATTATATTTTTTTCTGTCAATATTTTTCACCATCTACTATAGATAAACTTACCATAACTTAACTGAGGTACGAGTACATTGTTTATTTTTAGAAGTATGGAAATATAGACTTTCCATTTATTTATAGATTTTAGGTGTAAGTAAAGAAAGGAAGTATCTGCATTATTTATAGTTTAATTTGTTATATTTACTCCTAACTTTTATTTACTTATCATTGTGATTTGAACGAATTTATCAATTTTTAGTGTTGAAGAGCGCCTAGTGTAAGTTTTTTTGACGTTAACGTTCACTGTCGATCGTAAGCGCGTTAGGATTTTAGTATGGAATCCGGTACAAAGCGCCTCTAGCGGTAACTATCAAGAACTACTTAAAGCTCCGTACAGAATTACGCTAACGCGCTCACTAGTGAACGCGTTAGCGTAAAACTTACACTTACCACCCAGGTTGGATACGCATCCCTGTCCTATGCCTTAAATCGGATGCTAAAAAGAGTTCATTTACAATGACGATTGAGAAAACCATGGAGCAGATCTTATGGTCTAGCGATCACAAGATTTACCTCCATGGGAGATGATATAAGTTTGTATTCTGACCGAAGAGATTTTTCAATATTTTATCGTATTTTTAGTGCTGAATTTGTATTTAAAAATAAAAACAATCCTAGGGGAACAATCGATTTGTCATAGCGTCTAAAAACACTTATGAAATAAATATCGATTATATAATTAGTATATTTATTGTAATATAAATTAATTTAGTTCGTTGACGGATATTCTTTCTATTATATTTATAGTTATAAGTAGATAAATAAATTGCATAGAAAAATAATATTTCATAATGTTAAAAATGTTATTTTTACGTAGTCTTGACTGCCACACTTAGTAGTATCTGAATCTGTTTAGTTCCATTGGGAACTTTAGTAACACAATTTTTTTTTTTTTTGTTAATAATAGTTATAATATGTATTAGTCCCAGGAAAATATGTAGAGTTGTTTGAAATTACACTATCGAAATATGAATTATTCTTAAACCCTTTGCAATGCTCAAAAGTGCTATAACCATTGAGCCACACCAAGGTTTTGCTGCTCAATTTTTTGGTATAAAGTAATATTGTTATTGTAACTAACATATATGAGAATTATACTACAGTTTCAAAAATAACATACCTAGCGAACACGAACTATCGGTCCCACGAATATAACTAAAAATCGCACATCAAAGCTAAATTTATAGCTTGTCGTTGCCTGCCAAATAAATATTAATAAAATAAAGTTGTTACTAAAATCTAGAAGAAATACTTACCTACTTTATTTTGGGGTTTGTCATAATGTAAGTTGTAGTCTGATTACAGTCAAAATTTTACAAAAAGATATATAATTATAATCCTACCACATAATAAGTGTCCTTCGGTTATCATAATTAAAAATGCAGTTTCATCGGACTAAAGTATAAAATGTCATGTCCACTTTCCATATATTGGTTAACTTAACACAAGTTTTTTTTAAAGGTCGCGTCTACCCAGCATAAATGATAATTTAAATTAGTTTTTTTTTTTTTTAATAGAATAATATCTTAAGCATTTTTTTCATTTGGAGGCCAAAGAGATTCGTAATAATGTTTTGAAGATAATTTCAATACCTTATAACAGCTGTTAAAACACGAGATAATGGTTAAACTACTATAAAAATTAATGCATTAAAACTAAAGCTGTGTAAAGTTTGACTCGTAAATACAGAAATAAATCTAAATATAATCGTTAAAGTGTAGTTTATTCTTTTATGACGAAAGAATATTTTTTCGTAGTAGATGAAACGAAACGTAGCAAACCGTCATTGGGTCCGAATCGCATTAGAGTAGTATAGCCAACCGTAACTTTAGAGTCCGAATCTCATATTACTATTTATAAATAATTATCAGCCTAGCAATTTTTATCCTGACTTTATTTTAAGATTTAATTTCCTCATATGAATTAAGTAAAAAATTCATTTTGAGATATGTGACGTCACTGGTCGCGCTAGTAAATATTAATTTAAAATTGGACATTATTATTTAGTTCGTACAACAGAATTGCTACTATTATTTTTTATTGTTATGTTGAATAATACTTGTTAAAAAATAATATACCTAGACAACGTAATGAAAGCAGATTAATATTTTAATTAAAATGCTTGAAAATCCACCAGCCTAAGGTACACCGAGATGTGACTCGAAGATACATATCTTGAGTATTTTTATTTTTATATAAATGTGATAAAAATCAGATTATTTAATCTTCCGCGCGGTTATAAATCAAAATAGAAAAAATCAGTATAACGATTCTTCCAAAATCAATAATTTTCAAATAGGTGTCGACAGGGGTGCAAAAAATGAAGTAACACATTTTGATTATGTATCATGGTCTTAAAAAGACAAGAGCCAGTTACATATTTTTTTTTTAAAGAGAAAATAAATATAACGAAATCCGTAAGATTTATAAGTAAATTATGATTAATTTATAATGTGAATTTCCTTCATGATGACTACCTATAGAGAATTAAAGATCGACATAATAAATTTATTTATACGAAATAATAAATATCCTTATAATACCGGGTATTAGACGCGATTTTACACTGACCTGAGCCGACGTTTTGGCCGGGTCGCACCGGCCGTGATCATGATGAGACTGGAGCAGCAAGTCTACGCCTCTGCATCCGAGGATGAATCTTATTCTACCCTCAGATTTTTCATCCTGTTACCATCACATACAACACGGTGTCCGAACGGTGTCCTATTCCCTTAATAATGGAGCGCGATAATTTAAAAGTGAATAATATATATAGATATCTAGATGATAGAAAATATTAAATTTAGAAGGCCGAAACCCCCGCATAATGGTACCTTAATCACTGTGTAATACGATAATTTGCCATTAGACTTCTTGCTCAATAGTGGAAATTTTGAGTTATTCTCATCTAGTACACAGGGGATCGTTTAAGAAGTATACTTATATGTGAATAACCCAAAAAAGTAAAGGTTTTCATCGAAAAATTTATTCTATATTTAATCAAACCATAAAAATTAAATTAATAGACAAATGATAGGTTGTGAAATTTATACATTTTCTAGATTTTTATAATAATGCAGTTAAAATATTTATTAAATTACAAAAATAATATAGTAATATAAAACTTCATTTTTTTAATTAATATACTCTTTTAAAGTCAGCTTGCTTGCAATTTACATAAGTAGCTTGAAAGAAACTATTATAAATTAAATGGAGACGATTATAATTTGATTTGCATTTATACACAATTATTTTTTGCATATTGTGTAATAATATATCTAAATAAATTTGACAAAAAAAAGTTAAATTGTTTTATAACTGTTAATTTTATTTATTAATGTACTAGAATAAGGCTTAGCCTTCTAGCTTACGTGATGTGGTAGCGAAGTGTGCCTGTGTTAGAGTATATTACAAATTTAGGTTTAGATTGTAAGGTTATGAATGAGATGATCGTAAAAACACGCTACC